CCGCCTGCGCCCGCCTTCCATCGGCCGCCGCGCTGGCGAACCCCTGAGAGGGATGCCGACTGAGGATCACGCTAATTTCAGCTGAGCTGGACAGCGCTTTGATCGCTCGTAACTACGAATAATCGAATTAAAATCATGATTGTAAGCGATCACTAGACGAGCGCTGCATCACACACTCGACAAAATCAGCTGCTACCGGAATTGATGTACCTAATTATTCTTGACATTTAGCAGTAATTAGGTTAGAATGAACAGTAATAGGTATAGACGGGCTGCCACACACAGAACAGGAAGTTTGCTGTCGCCCATATGGCGTCTTGCCATCCGCCGATAGAAGCTTTGTCACAATAAACTTCAATCAATTCCCTAGAGGTAGGTACTCAAAATTTGACGCACCTGATGCCGCGCGCCGTTTTTATGCTATAGCGCAGCGAAAGAAGTGGGGGCGTTTAACGCCTCCCCCCAGCAACTCGTGGGTTAACCCTCGCCGGCACAGGGGGGGGGATGGTGATGGTGGATTCCTGGTGATGCGATGATGCACCCCCCCCCCCCCCCCCCAAGGTTTGTTGCGAATAACTCGCGTAAAAATCGCCCGATCGCGACGAAACTTTTAGTACCCTCGCATTGATCAATTTTACACCTAACCTGAAAATTGCATGACCCAAATGACCTTTGACCTGTGACCTACTTTCCGAGACATGTTTGGCCGGAATCGCGATTAGGCGTATGTCGGCTCGCATTAGCCGCGCGTTTGCAAGCTTTTCGTCAAGCGCCCTACGCAAAATAGTTATACACTACATTTTTATCACACTGTGGTTGTTTTGTGGGGTATTTGCCTTGAGCTGTCAAAACTGGACTTCAAACAAAATGACGCACGAAAAGCCCCGAGGCGGTAGGCGGCAAACTTGGCTTGCTTGGTTCCTTTCCCTGTACCTTTCCCCAAGCCACCGCTTTTCCTCCTCTGAACTCCGCCAATTGTTTGTCCAGCTTCCCCACCCCTGCCTAATACTAGGAGATTTTAATGCCCACCACAGATCCTGGGGCTCAACAACGAACAACGCGCGCGGAACACTAATTGATAAGATAATGGATTCACTTGATCTCATTTGCATTAACAACCGCACACCCACTTTCACCAGACGCAACCAAGGTCAAGTCATACACTCCGTCATCGACTTGGCCTTCACAGACACTAACACCGCGACACTTTTCACTCAACACGTCGGAGATGATACACTGTTTAGCGACCATTTTAACTATCAACTTAATGTCCCTTCAGGACAAGGCAATTTTACATTTCTTCCTCGTTGGAACTTTAAGAAAGCTGATTGGGCCTCCTTTCAAAAACATATAGATGAACACACTCCCACCCCTCCCCCTGACATCAACACCTTTTTAAACGTGATTCTCGCTGCTGCTCACCAAAATATTCCCCATACCCACCCCCCACGTGAAAACAAAGCTGCCCCTTGGTGGAACGCTGACTGCAATCGAGCTGTAGCTCTGCGGAAGCGTGCCTTACGAGTCTTTAACAAATGTATTTGCGATTACCATGAAAATGCCCTCCGGAAGGCCCGATATGATGCTTCACAAATAATACTTAAAGCAAAACAAGAAGGATGGCACTCCTTCTCTAACAGCTTTAATAGATTTACTCCCCTTTCTAAAATCTGGTCGCTAGTTAGAGTTTTTTCGACAAGGCGCAGCACAACTTACAAAATTCCTCATCTCTACATTAACAACACCCACTACACCACTCCCCTTCAAGTTGCGACACAATTCGCCCAACATTACGCACGCATATCTTCTGCTCAACAATACACACAAGTACAACATGACAGCTTTAACACAACACTCGACACCCTCTCCTTTGACTCAGCAAATACTGAAAATTATAACAAGCACTTTGACTTGTTCGAACTTAGACACGCCATATCTCGATGTGGTGAAGCGTCGGTAGGGCCGGATCAGATAGCCTATCCGGCCTTGAAAACCTTTTGATAGTAATCAATAATCTATGGGAAAACAATTTGTACCCCGAGAGCTGGAGAAACAGTACCATCGTCCCCATCCTTAAACCCTCCAAACCACCCTCCTCCCCCTCTAGTTATAGACCTATATCCCTAACCAGTTGCGCTGCTAAATTGACAGAACATATATGGTCAATGGACGGATTAGGGCATATCTAGAAGGTAACTACCTCCTCTCTCCACATCAAACAGGATTTAGGTCCGGCCGCTCGACGGCAGACAATATAGTCCACCTCATTGATGACATCCAGAAGGGCTTCCAAAATGACATGTATACATTTGCAGTTTTCATTGATTTTCAAAACGCCTTTGATAAAGTAAATAAACAAGCCCTTCTGATCAAACTTCATAAGACAGGTATTCGCGGCCACATGGCCCATTATATCTCTAATTTCCTCAAAGATAGAACATTTAACGTACGATGGCGTAACACATTTTCTCCCAATCTTAATCAGGATCACGGCCTCCCTCAGGGCAGTGTCCTCTCCCCAACCCTCTTCCTTATTATGATTAACGACCTTTTTCAAAACCCACCTAGTAGCCTTATTCTATTTTTGCCGATGATGTGGCCATTTGGGTAACGCGAAGAAACATTGACTCGGCTTTTGCCTCCGTTCAAAACGCAATGGAGGATATTCATAGCTGGTGCGATAAATGGGGCCTAGTCTTGTCGCCCAGCAAAACAGTAGCACTTATATTCTCCCATAAAACCCGTTTTAAATTTGATACCGAACTTAAAGTAAAGAACCAAGCTATCAAATACGTTAAAACGTTCAAATACCTCGGCATCACACTAGATAGTAGACTCTCCTTTAAACATCACTTTGAAGACGTTAAAATGCGTTGCACTAGGCGCCTCAACATACTTAAGTGTATAGCAGGAAAGGATTGGGGTGCTGATCTCAGCACCCTCCTTAACCTATACACTTCCCTAATCCGTCCTATCCTGGATTACAACAGTTTTCTATTTGATGATATAGCTTCTAATCAGATCGAATCACTTCAAGTTATACAAAATAAGGCCCTGCGTATAGTTACAGGAGCCCAATGCACCACAAATATCAGGCTCTCCACGCAGAATGTAATATTCCTCTTCTCTCTCACCGCCGTAAACTCCAACTCCTTTGCTTCTATGCGCGCACTTTCTTGTCCCCTTATTCGCCTTCGCACCGCATTGTCTCCAATCGATATACGGACGACCCTCCCACAACGGCCCAACTCAAATACCCGATAATCGCCTATCGCATAGAAAGGACACTCAGTGATTTCCAGTTGGATTTTCCATCTATTTTTCATCGGCCACCCATCTCTTCTTTCTTTCTGCCAGCCATAGAGAATATTGCATTCCTGTACGCAGAGGCAAAATCAAAAGTCACAAAAGAAGAAAGCATTCAACTTTTCTATGAGCATAAAGAAGAACATAAAGACTATGCATACATATATACAGATGGTTCAGTTTGTGACGGGAGGACGGCAGCCGCTGTCACATCTGACCATCATAACAAAACAAGTAGGCTACACGACGACCATAGCATATTTAGTGCTGAGTTGATAGCCATTCACTCAGCACTCAAATATGTCTCATCGAAAAACATAGAAAAGGCTGTGATCTGCACAGACTCAGCTTCATCGGTAAAGGCAATAGCTCACAGAAAAATGGAAAAAAAACGAAATCGTTTATAAAATAAAAAAGATGATTATTGGCTTTACCGATGAAAACAAACACGTCATTCTCCTGTGGATTCCGTCCCACGTTGGAATACAGGGGAATGAAAAAGCGGACAAGCTAGCCAAAGAAGGTCTTCATCTCCCATCTCGAAATCATCTCGCTCTCCCCCTTCCGGATTTTCTGTCTTCGCTCTTCCGTGCCTTCCAGAGATACCGCCAAAAATGCTGGATAGATGATCATACACCACATCTCTTCTCCATTAAACCGAAACTTTGCCATTTCTACTCTTCCCATCAAAACACAAGGATCAAAGAGAGAGTCCTAGCCAGGCTCCGGCTCGGCCACACACAACTCACCCACAACTACATCCTGGACAGAGCACCTCCACCCATATGTCACCACTGCCGCGACCACCCACGCTACACCATCTCACACTTCCTCCTCCACTGCCCACACCTACACCAACACCGCAGACATATAGTACAATACATTAACACACATGGACTCTCTCTCGACCTTCCGACTCTCCTGGGCGACACTCATCCGGATATCCACGACCTTCTGTTCGTCTTTCTCGCCGACGCTCGGATCATCAAGAGCCTTTAGCGTGTTAGGGCCGCGGCTACCGCCCCTAAAACGCTAATCAGAGCCCTCGTCTCCCGGCTCACCCCCAAACTCACACATTAATTAATCGCGGTTACAGGGCTTTTTCCCTCGCGCCGTTTTGGCTTAGGTGCGAGGTTTTTGCCCTTTGCGTTAGGCGTCGGGTTTTTTATTATTTAGGACTTTTTCTCCCGACCATTACACCCCACAACAAGGCCCCGCCGGGGGGCTGGAGCCTAGAAGGTCTTATACCTTCTGTCAGTGCGATGAAAGCTTCCCGGCTCCATTACACTGACACCAGCTCACAAGTGTTCATGTCTATTATGTATTGTTAATAAAAGTCATTCCCACTGTTGTGTTTGCGACTCCAGACATCTCGGCTCTTTGGCTATACACGTAAGTACCTCCCTTAGCTTTGATTCCACATTAAGATAGGATCCCACGTTGTTTTTGCTACCGGTTTCACATAAACCGGTTTAACGTAAGACTTGCTGCCCGGCGAAAATTGCCGGAGTAACTGCCCCCTGCTCGGGTATGGCACTAGGCCGACCGAGCAAAAAAAAAAAAAAAAAAAAAAAAAGCTCGCGGCGCTCTCTCGCGTGAATCACTTGATCTCTCGGAGTTCTACATATAGCCTTGGATCGCTTGGGTGGCTCTCGCTTGGATCTCTCTCTCTCTCTCTCTCTGGCCGAGCGTGTGACAGGTACGGCGCCTGTTCTGCTGTTCATACTTTATTGTTTGTTGTTCATACTTTATTGTTCATACTTTATTTTGGCTGCAGCAATGCTATTTTACCCGGTGTTTCACATCTCCCGATTAATGTAGTTCCTGTAAAATTGCCCTTCAAATTCATTCAATTAGCAAATGGCGTTGGTACCTATTGACTGGCCTATTATCAGTATCGTTCTTGTGTATCTTCTTGTGTTACGCTGTGTAGCTTCGGCTATTTTCTGCTAAAAACTAAGGTTTTCCTTCTCAAGAAGAAAAATAACATCTATAACATCTATATAACATCAGATTTGGATACTAATCCTGTGGGCTGGGACTGAGTTGATGCCCTGAGTGGCCCTGCCTGGCACCCCATGGATCTCAATCTCCCAGTGTGAGTGCTGTGATTTTTTTTTTGTGCATCCTGTGTCCTCATTAATGGTTAGTGTCCAGACTCCAGTCTGGAAAAATTCCACACATTCTTTCTTCCAGATGCCTCGGGGTCTCATACCCTGTAAGTGCAGATGTTTTTTGGGCAAAATTTATTCAATTTTGGCACTATTTGCTTGAAAATTAAAGTTTATTTTTACCAAATTTTAACCATTATACCATATCATTAGAGCACATAGGTAGGTACATACATATGCTGATCTATACCATAAATGCTAAGAAGTTTGATAACAACTAAGAAGGAGGCTGGCTGGCTAGTGGCTAAAAAGCATTGAACAAAAATGGTTTCCATTGCAAGTTCTTCCAAATTACAAATAGAAGGAGAATCACTGTCAAGTACATTGATATGGCACACAAATATGATGCATTTGGGTACCTACTTCACCAGGCATCACCCATTTAGCACATCCTCTTTACGTTCACCTCTGCTAGGTACCTGCTGCCGAGCTGAGTGCCAGGCCCGTGGCGCAGCCATTCAGCTGTGCAGTGTGCTAGCTGCCCAGCTCCCTTGTAAGCATGCACTACCCATATCTGCCAGGGGTCCGGGGTTAACTTGGTGTTGGCTTTCTTTCCCTCGGCCTCCTGCAGCAGTCTTTTGTTGTGCGTTACTGAGGCCTTCAATCACAGGACATGTCATCATCTGGAATATCACTCAACTTGACATCAACACTGGATAACAATAATCCAAAGCACTCAACTCCTATCATTACACTGTACTGCATGCGAAATTGTGTTTCTCTTCAGCTCCCTCAGCCAACAAACTTCCCCCAAAATGTTAATTGCAACGTATACCGAACCATGACAATACACACCATTTGCCGAAAGTCCTTAGTTTGTCGCTAAGTTACGTCAGCCGCCGCCCCAAAATTTTGCCGCAATCCGCTTGTTACGTCAAACATGTCGACGGTAATCCATTTTTGGTACAATGCATACTTATACAATGCCCGACACATTTCAATGCAGCATTCAAATTCAAACCATCGGGCAAGTCCATACTGCAAGGTCATGCTCTGCTCTCCCCTCCCCATGACTTCCCCTGGCCACCACCCTCCCCTCTGCCCATTGCTGACCCCTCCCTCATTCCCCAGGTAGCTGCGCGCACCACCAGTGAAGCACACGCAGAACACAATGGCCACAGCAGGAGACCGCCTGGACCTGGTGGTGTTTGGCGCCACCGGCTTCACCGGCCAGTTTGTCGTGGAGGAGATCGCCCGCATCGAGACGGAGAATGCTGGCCTGTCCTGGGGTATCGCCGGCCGGTCTCGCGCCAAACTGGAGAAGATCCGCCAGCAGGCGGCCAAAGAGACGGGTGAGTCAATAAATGGCTGATTAGTGTGGAAGTTTTGTGATTGAGTAACTGATATAATGGAGTGGGAGGTCATTGGTCAGTGGTCATGCATACCTGCATGCTATCATTTTCAGGGCCTACCTATTTCTTGTTAATCTGAGATTTGGGTCTGGATTATCTACATATTATATTTGTTTGTATTTTCAATTTAAGAGCATGCTATCTTGATGGGTGTATCTCTTTGACATTCCCTGATTTGATGTGGACCTTTGAGGATAGGGATGGCGAATGTTCCATTCTCTGATGTTCCATTCAATGTTATTTCATGCCCTAAATGTTCAATTCCCTCCTCTGAGCAGGCCGCAGTCTGGAGCACGTCGAGATCCTGGTGGCCGATGTCAGCGACCAGGACAGCCTGGACCGCATGGCCAGCCGCTCCAAGGTGGTAATCAACTGCGTCGGACCGGTGAGTACCCTCTGTGACGTCAGCGTGGGTGTCGTGACGTCATCGGGGGCGGATCCGCAGCTGGTGGAGAGGAGCTGCGATCGTGACGCAAATGAGAAGTGCTTACAGTTGATGGGCGTGGCTAAACCAAACGAATGTTTGATATAACCATTGACCTTATTAAGTTTATACGGCTTATGGAGCTTTCCTTGCTGACATTTAGCGGAAGATTTGCAGATGAATAAGATCGGATAAGAAGTTTTGAGAATGAAACGTACGTCATTAGATATTTAGTTTGATTGTTACGAGCCTATAACGAGCTGCAAAGGTCACTTGTACACTTATAGCTATCGTTTCCGAACTGTATTTATTTGTTGTCTATTCGTCTCTCCTTGAGAAGCATCAACAGAACACAAGCTGTTCTCATTTAGGTAGGTACTACGTGTCGTCCTAAAATCTAGTTCCACTACACACGTGCGTTTAAATCATGCCTCGTCGTACCCGGCATTGAGCGATGCTTGATACTCGGCTGTTCCACTCAGCCCTATCTCGCCTGATATGGTGGTGAGGGCCTGGCCAACGGTCTGGAGGGGCGACCGATGATAGTGAATGCGATTAGGACTTCTGTCTGCCCAGATAAGCGCCGGGCGTGCTGTTTTCACTCTATGTTTTTTTTTTACAATAATCATTTATCGATTCATTGAGCTTCATTGTTCCAGCTTCGTGCTGTACCTTCTCTGCACTGGCACGTACCTACTAATTTGAAAAATACATATATTTTCTAAGATTGCATGTTATGGGAAATAAGGTTGATTAAAGATCTGAGTGAATCTCAACCATCGTGAAAATTATTATGGATGAATTTGATCGCTGTAATTCTTGGACTAGGTATGTTATTTGATAATGCTGCGGCATGTCCACTCTTTGTCCTCTGTTTCTGCTTCTTCACCGTATGAAAATTGGACAGGCATACCCGACTCCCCCACAGAGACTCGGGCTGACCCTCTTCCCCTCACCCCATGGTGTTGCAGTACCGCTTCTACGGCGAGCAGGTGGTGAAGGCCTGTGTCAACAACGGCGCCAGCACAGTGGATATCAGCGGCGAGCCCCAGGTAAGGGCTGGTGAGAGCTGCTGCTATATGTTAGCGGGGAGCCCCAGGTAAGGGCTGGTGAGAGCTGCTGCTATATGTTAGCGGAGTGCCTCACGCAAGAACCGGTGATAGCTGTTGCTGTTTGTTACCGGAGGGCCGCGGTGAGAGGTGTATATAAGCTTATATAAGCGGAGAGTCACAGGTAGGGGCTGGCGAGAGATACTCATCACCGGAAATAGCATAGAGAGACGGGACCTGCGCGGAGAATAACGGGCGAAAGCTGCACAACAGCAGAGATTAGCTACCGGTAGCTTGATATCAGCGGGAAATAAGACCTTCTGAGAGCTAATCAGAGCCCACTTTGTCGCTCCATTCATCGTGTGCTCTTGCGGGACGAAGTTTTTTTTTTAGCTCGAGCTTCTTATGATAGTGACATTTGGCGTGTGTGCAACAAGGCATATGCCAGTTTTTATGACCGGCTCTAGCAGCTAAGCCTTGTCGTAGGTGGGTGATCATGTTGAACCATATGCAATAGGCGCCTTGCTTTCTGGAACAGGGTATTTTGTCGTTTTTGGAAGTACATGACTAAGACTATCTTTATTTCTCAGTTTGTTAGGGAGGAAACACATATACTGCGTTATAAGTCATCACGATATTCTCATGGAACCAGTGGCTTGACTTTTGTCCGTATTGACATTTATGTTCGATTGCGTTATCGTTTTATGTGTGGCCAATACCGCTGAGTCTTACTAGGACTGCACGTTTTTATCGCTCCCGGCGCTTGTTACTATCTGTGCGGTCGAGTTCTGGTCATCTCTGGACTGTTTACCGTGTGTGTGGGCTGGTCGTCGCCGGCTCGCGAGGCCCTCCTGCCGCCTGTCTGTATCCGTTCCGGTATGATGGGCCTGCCACAGGTGTCTGTCATCCGCCCGGCCTCTGATGAGGCCCATTAGGACCGGTCTGATCACCTGTCCCGACTCGGCCCCTCCTGTACCGAGCCCCTGATCACTTACCAGCCGGGGAACCATTGCCGGCTCACGGGGTAGAGTGGTGTAGGAGACGCACCTACCCTGTAGACGCACATGTGGATGGGAGTGCCCGTACAGTCGAGCGTAGATAATGGGTAAATAGGTGGGGTGAATCGGCAGCTCCGAGAGGGAATGCGATGCTCCGTCCCAGCCGTCCATTTGCGCTGTTCGCGGCTGATGCATCGCTGCTGATGCGATATTCCGCCAGGGTACACAGGGAAAGATACACATTATTGCCTGTCAAAAGTCCTCCCTGCTTAGTGCCTATAATGCCGTGCCAGCTGATGCGATGTGACTTATCTGTCACATCTGGGGAGACTGTGAAAAAAGCACTGTCGGCTGCTCCTATAACGCATCGTCGATGTACAACTGGGTATTCGTTCGAGCCTGCTCGGAAGTTGTCGTGTCATTCATTTATCGGTATCAGCAGCTGCGGGGCCGAAGTCCGCTCCGTGATCGCACTTTGCGCCCGAGTCGTCCGTAGACGCACGGACCGCTGAGTCGGCCGGCCACGAGCTGGCCCCTCGCTTTCACCTTGTTTATGCATGACCTTCCTCCCTGTCTCGGGGAGTTGAACCGGACCGAGTGAGGCCCGCTGTCGGCGGCGGACACGGAGACCCGAGTCGCACGTGTCCCGTGTCTCGAAACAACGACCAGCCGCTGTAATATGAATGTCGTGTTGGTTTGCCATGGCGTTCTTTTTCGATAGGTTTATTTAGGTGGTTTGGAAATCGGGTGATTTGGAAAGGAAATTTACTTCTCACTTGGGAGCTGAGCAGCGACGGGCCTTAGGGGTTTCAATTACGGTCAGTTTTAGTAGCTTTCAAATCCCTTCAGTATCCCTTGCAATGACGTAGAAAAGCCTGAATTACAGGTTTAGAGACATAAAATGTATAAACTTAAGACGGTTATTTCTAACTATTTTTCATCTTTTGGCTCCGCGTCAAACGTAGTTGATAATGAATATTTATTGGCATACGCTATCCCATATCCTCATTAGTATTTAGGCAATGATTGACTTGCAATGAAATAACTGACCGGATATGCAACCCCCGCCCAACCTGCCTAAAATCTCCACAAAACTCTAACCGCCACCCCTCCCGTGCCCCCAGTTCCTGGAGGGTATGCAGCTCAAGTACCACGAGGCGGCAGAGAAGGCTGGCGTCTATGTGGTCGGCGCGTGCGGCTTCGACTCGATTCCGGCCGACATGGGCACCTGTTTCGTCCATGAAAAGTTCGACGGTGACCTGAACGGTATCGAGAGCTACTTCAAAGTCCAGACGGGACCCAAGGTAGGCGCTGCTTTTCGGTGATACTCTTTGAATGTATGGTGTGTCGTATCAAAAACTGTGATATGGTTGATGGTGGGACGTTTAAATGGAGTTGATTCGGTGTGTGTTGATTTTGGGCGTTATTTGGCGAACAGGACATAAAGCTTGAGCCAATGACCTAGTAACTAGCTCGCTATAAATCCATCCTAATAATGTAACAGTTATAATGTCTGAGTGCTGACATCATTCTTCATATAAATTTGTCCAAAGTTGGTGCCTGGTGGCTAATTAGAAGGTTTAACTAGTTCGCTTCATCAACACCGGCGTGTATCAAAACTCCATTAGGAATAGGACTAGCACAGAGACCTGAAAACATCAGACCACTAACGTTCTGTCTCTGTCGCGCGAAGGGCTACCGCGGCATCCACTACGCCACCTACCAGTCGGCCATCCACGGCTTCGCCAACGCCCACGAGCTCGGGCCGCTGAGGAAGCAGCTGTTTGGGAAGCGTCTGCCTCGCTCCAACCACAAGCTGCCCAACCGGTAAGGGTGGGGTTGACAAGGCTGGAGTCTGGGACAAGGGGAGAGCTAGGATTGGGCAACTGGCTGTGTTTCGGCATAAGTGATTGAAGTGACTGATTTGACTAGGTGTTTGATCTTCAAAAGGCGGGCATTTTGATCCATTCGCTGTAAACGTTGGGTTTTAACTGAAATCCGTGCGGTACTACAGAAGGAAGCATGACTGCCGAATTTAGCAGCCATAAAGATGGCTACCAAAATTAGCAGTCATGTATCAGCAGATAGTTCACGGCGTCTCTCGCGATCCACTAACGATTACTGGCTCGCTGATCTCCGTTTTCTCACGCCGTCAGCGGTAACCTGCACTACAGTGACGTGATCAGCGCCTACTGCCTGCCGTTCCTCGGCTCGGACAAATCTGTTGTCCAGCGCAGTGTGTTCCACAACTACGAGACGCGCGGCTGGCGCAACATCCAGTACAGCCCCTACGTCGGCATTGGTGAGCGCCCCCCCCCCCTCCCCGGGGGTGACAGAGGGGGTGGCGGAGGAGTAGAGATTGGGGGAGGGGTTGATGAAGAGGGGGGGGGGGGGGGTGGCACAGAAGCTGGTAGACCCGGGGGTTAGGGTAGAGACTAGAGAGCACAAAGTATGGTATGTGTTGCAGAGGTGCGATTGAATGGCCTGGATATACAGGAGGATGGAAATGTGTGGTGGGGAACAGTGTAGATGGCGTTATGGTGCAATCTATGCTCGACATATAGTTAGTATTGCTGAGAAACATGACTGGTGTTGTAACCTTTTGTGTAAATGTCAGGCTGCTGGCCTATAGTCAGAACAACGTTACGTGCTTTATATCAATCAAGCCGGTATTGCTTCCCGAAAAGTGGTTTGCCACGTGGTGACATTTGCTCAATTGATAAACAGTTGATCTCCTGAATCGCAAAGCTCAATACCGCGGTCGCCTGATGCCTCAGAGTCAGATGGCAAGTGATTTTTTTGCCGTTGATAATTTTTTCCTGTAAGACACAAAATCACAATCCTTCTCTTACGCTGCAAAGCAACAACAAGCTCACCCCATGGATGCAACATGGTTTTCTCATACACTGCTGAACCTGCGCTGATCTACCTGACTCTCATCTTCGGCAAATAGCTGATGGCTGAAGTTCACTTGTGTCCATCTAACTAACCCAAGACGTTCATCGTCTTCAAACCCTCAGAGCTTGACGATGTTCACCCTCGTCATTTTACCATCCTCTAACCCCCATGTGTGTATCTCTGACAGGCGGTATGCTAAGGACTGTCGGTGTGACCATCCTTCTCGCCTTCTTCGGTCTCATGGCCAGCTTCAAGTTCGGCCGCACTCTGCTGGAAAAGGTAGGTTATCAGACGCTGAGACAGCCGCTTTATCTCCTCGCTACGGAGTCTATAGTATGATGCCCTGTTGTAGACGCTAGTACAACAGCGATCAGCTTTGGCTTTTTGCTAGTCGCAATGAGTGACGGGATCAGAAATAGCTGTGACATTCTTAATTCCGATACATATGTTGATCACGTATAATTTTAGGTTATAGTTCAGGACAAAATTTCTATTTATTCCAATTATCATCTGCAGACTCTCCCCTCTACCACCGTCTCCAGTAACCGGACCCGTCCCCCCCTGTCCCGCAGTACCCCCGCGCGATGACGCTGGGCGCCGTCAGCCACGACGGACCGACCCGGGAGCAGATGGCCGAGACGTCGTTCTCGATGACGTTCGTCGCGAGCGGCTGGAAGCAGAAGGCGCCGCGTGACGAGCAGCACTCTGAGAAACCGGACCAGTCGCTGGTGGCCCGGGTAAGAAGGCTGCTCGGTGTAGTGGGGAGGTGTGTAAAGAACTGTTGTAACGAATCAAAGATGGGTGGTGGGTTCAACTAGTGATTATTTTTTTGTTTTTGTTTTGTTGGGTTAGGCCCTTTCGGTGCAATGGGACCATTTCAGAGCCGGGAGGATGATAGGATATAGGGGGAGACATTGGTCTGGGCAGGCACCCTAGTGAGTCACCGGGGCTGAGCCCGTCCAGAGGACAGGCCACCCAGCCCCAAGGCACTCACTGCACCCGGCTACGGGGTGCGCTCCCTCGGGAGCAGCGGTGCCGCTCCAAGGGAGCAGCCCACATGAGATAAAGTTGCCTGTCCAGCCCGGAAGGGGGTTGCGGCGTGGAGGAGAAGGACTTCTGTATCCTGAGGATAGAAGCACGGATCGGTGTGATGAACTAGTGATTAGCGCCTATGTTAGCTGTAGGAGCGATCCGGTCGCTGCATTCGTGTTCTCCATTTGTTTCTGAGCAAAGAACGCTTCGTCATCTGTCCTTCCGATTGAAGTGCGGCTACTAGTAGTTCCTCGTTCGGCCGCCAGGTGTCTGGCCCGGAGTGTGGCTACATCGCAACCCCCATCTGCCTGGTCCAGAGCGCCATCACCATTCTGAAGGAGGCCGACAAGATGCCCGGAACGTAAGTGCCCAACGGCCTTCACCAGTACACGATAATGTGGATGACGAAGCTTGTCTGCTACATCATTGGATAACATTGGTCCATTCCAAAGGATGCAACATTGCCTTCTAAACTTTGATTATTTTGAAGAAAAGAAGAACTGTAATATCCAATGGTAGCTGGAATTAGTACATGAGCAGGTGCTTTATCTGATAATTCGGTGTAATTATAGCGGCTCTTCACTTGTAAGTACTCACTTCAGTCAGCTGTCATGCTGCACGGTGAACCAATTTATTGTCTTACCTCGTGTCTGTCCGTTTTCTCCCACACCACCTCCACTGTCCTCTCTGCCGACCTGTCGCGGCCCTAACCCCTCCCGTCTGTCTACAGGGGCGGTGTGTACTCCCCGGGCGCGGCCTTCCTCGACTCGACTCTGATCCAGCGCCTCACTGAGCACGACGTCAAGTTCGAGGTGCTGGGCGACAAATAGACGGCGCTGTGAGTGTCGGGAGTCACCCCCGCCGGGCTGGGGGACTCAGCCTGGTGGCTGCGGTCGGAGGGTATGTCTGTCTGCCTGGGATACTCTACTCTACTGCCTGGCATGGCTGTTGGGCTTCAGAGCTAGTGATGGAGGCGAAATGACCGAGCTTGAAAATGATTTTGATGCGGAGATTTGAGAGTCAATTTGAATGTGATGGCGAGTGCCTGATGAGGGTTTTGTGAAGTTGATAGTGCGGTGTAGGGGCCAGGCGTTTATAGAAGGCTAGGTAACTGTGATAAAAACAATTGCTGATAGTCGCTTTCTTTGCATTTCTCTGCCACCCTCCTCCCTATGGATTTCTCACCTCTTTTTCGAGGAAATGAAGGACTTGGCATTTGATTTAAAAAGAAAATTCATAGTTATCAGTAATGTCTGTGATCGAATATATCCACATCTACGAGGCAAGTCTAGCTCCACTAGACAATTTTCTAAAAATGACTGGGCATTTCACACCACTCCATGGCCAGTTCTGATGGGAGTTTGAGTGAGGGCCAGCCTCCATCACTCCTAGCGCCCCCTCCCCCCCTTCCCCCCGCTGAGGGAGTATCGCCCCACACCGCAGCCGGAAGTGCCGCACCTCGAGGCCACGTGCTAGTGTGACCTCGGCCTGTGGGGGTGGTGCCGGCGGCGCCTATCGGCTGGGAGCCCCGCACCTGTCCCTGATGGCAGTGGGAACTTTGTCAGCGGAATTGGAGGGGGGAGTGGCGTCTGGATTGTTAGGGGATGTGATTTGTGGTTTGAATATTGGTGCAGAAGAATACGTTGGCTTGATTATGTCCATGTTATTGGTTCAGGATGGCCCTCCCGTTTCTCGGCGCTATCCTTTGTTCAAATCAATGACTGACTGAATAGATGAAAAGAGGTTGTGCATTATAATATTTGTTACATGGATCAATTATGCAATCTTGCATTCGAGTCTTCTGCCAGGTTGCTACGATCTTGGATAAGTGCTGTTGCGTTCTTCCCTAATCCCCGACAAAATAATGAAAATGTATCATTCAGTAAAGTTTTGGCGATCGGTACAATATATCACTGTTTGTGTTACCGTAACTATTTGCCACTGGTCCCATCCGTTTTCGAACCATTGTTTTCGCTGTCGTGTTACGGCAATATGAGGCTTGGCATTCCGAATTAGTCTAGTATCTGCCATATAAATGCACTCATAGGACTGATTCCGTCTTTTGTATTGTCGATTGTTTGCTTTCTTTCTGTGTCAGACTGTAAGTACTGCAGGTTGATGTGAATTGTGCAATTGACCTAGGCATCGGGCATGTATGGGCGTGACTATTCACCGGTGGTGTCATGATAATCCAGGGCCAGATGGTCGCTTTCCATAGTTGTTGTTACAGCTGAGCTATTTGGTGGTGTGTCAGATGATAAATATACACATAATTAAACACATTTTATTTGTGTGTTTTTAACACAGCGAGAGAACAGAATTACCGCATCTCACTAAAACGAGATGCGAGCGATGCCATTCACAAGTTTCAAAATTCTAAGTATTGTAGTTTTCAGATTCGAGGCTCGATTTTAACTTGACCCGATGTCCTGATCATATGTAGATGGCTTGAGATCATAACCCGCGACCTGGTGGGGGGGGGGGGCTATTTTTTGCCCCCCCCCCCCTCCTGACTTTTCGATAAATCTCCAGATCCGCTGCGCCGATCGTCACCAAACTTTCAGTACCCTCCTGGACATCAATTTTACACATGGTGACCCTTTTTTTTAAGGCTATGATAGGTTGGCCGGAAATGACGTCAGAGTGACGTCATGTTCTGCCGTTTTCGACCCAAAAAAGGGTTTCGCGGGAAGAGCTGTCAGGACTATAGCTTTGCAAATACAGAAAAATGATAAGGACATACAAGCTGTAGAATTGACAGGGCTACAAAACTGCCATCTCGGATTTTTGAAATGTTTTGATTTTGACCCCAAAAAATAAAAAAAAAATAACTATTTTTGATATAATGATCGACAAATCCAAAAAGTTTTTTGAATTTCCCAAAAACCGGAATATATGTGATAGTCCTTACCGCCTTCCATCCACATACCAAATTTGAGATTGATACCTCTTTTTTGGCGAAGTTATAGCGAAAAACTGTTTAAAATTGATGACGTCAAATTTTCAAACTCAATTTTTAGCAATTCTAGACCCCGTAGCGCAAAACAAAGACCACCATTAGACCCCCCCGTGACGAGCTGCATCGAATCAATACCCATTTTATGCAAAACTATCAACTTTAAAATTTGACCTTTTTTGACATGACCTTGACCTGACCTTGACATGACCTTGACCTGACCTTGACCTGAACTTCACCAGAAAGTGACCTAAGCCGTACCTGATAGTCTTATAACCAACACCTTTGAGTTGGAAATGCAAAATTGGCCACAAAACATGCATCACACAACCTTAGTAAAGTTGGGCTCATGTGACCTGACCTGTGACCCTTGGTGACGTGACCTGTGACGTGACCTGGTATTGTCAGTTACCTCTAATAGCAACATATGTACTAGGCAATTGACGCCCTATCGCTGATTTTCGACAAAATGCGTTTTCCTCGGTGTTATAGCGCATTCCCTAGAAGACCCGTGAACGGTGAAACATTTCATCTTTGACCTGACCTGTGACGTCATCGGTGACCCCGAGGTCAATGAAATTTGGTTTCCTTCGACAAATTTGACAGGCCTTTCGAACGCCGTTTGAATTTTGCGGATCCGTCCAGTAGTTTCGGAGATACGAGGGGGGGGGGGCAAAAAATAGCCCCCCCCCCCCCCCACCAGGTCGCGTTATAAACAAACCCCATCAGGGCGCGGGATAACTCATAAAAAGGAATGCACTGATAAATAACCTATTACTATTCCATCCCTACACAAGCAAAAACCAGGTGAGCCCAACTCCTTCCCTCCCCACCATACACCAAGAGACGCACCATATTCGTAGGCGGTCGCGGCCCGTGGCTATTGATCGCGAGATATTTGATAGCAGCTCGCAATTACCGTAATGCTAATGGAGGAAGGCCTGCATGCTGAAACAGTATCCTTACCTAAAAGGGAATACGTGATTTGCTCGTCGAGTGGATGGAACATCAAAGAAGATCGAGCGAGTCGTGTTACATTTTGTAGCAAATACCTACCTACCATGAGCAAACTATGTAGCGGTAGCAGTACCTATTTGGAAGCTAAATGTAACGGCTAACGCATTACCTACGTAAGATTAGACGCTTGGGGGTGCAACCAATCGTCTTTATAAAGCCCAAGCCAGTGATGTTTTGATGATTGGTTTCCTTACACGAAAAATCACAATGATGTCTTTAGCTCACGGTTTTATGAGATATTTTCATACTCGACATACTGGGGCGGCTACTTCGCCCTATCCCGTCACATCTTCGTCAGCTCTTTTGACATAATTGCCTGCCTCGCCGAACGCCCGTGAGGTTACTTTGATAATATTATGCAGTTTTTTTTAAAGAAAACAATATGTTATACCTACGAGGCATTGAAACGTACAAATTTTAAAAATCCGAATAAGCACCGGTCACCACTTCTTTTGACAAAGCGTGCTGTAAGAGCGTAAGTCCTCACAGCACGTCGGCTAGCTTAGGTAGGGTAGCCTGGGGCAAGACGCCCCAGATAATTTATTTTGCTACATAAATTTTGTCCCACATCACCTGAAAGGCCAAATTTGTGCTCAATGCGTTCTTTGGACATTTTACTTTAAATTGCACCCCTCAAATTGATTCACTTATGATCGGACTCCAAGCTAGGAAGTGATTTGTGAAGCAACTGCAAATGGGGCATTTTGCCCCAACCCCAGGGCAAAACGCCCCACGGCCTGGGGCAAGTAGCCCCATACCTTAGATTAAAGATTTAACATGGTAGTTGGCTAAATCTTATGTGAGAGGTCCGTTAGACCTCTGGAGGCACGGCACTGAAGTTCGCACATTCCATCCTGTCAGGTGCTCAGCATATGACACTGTTGTATGAGCAGGTTTTTCACCTACCTCATAAGACCAAATAATAAATTATTGCAATGCAAATGTTAACAAAATACTTCCTTTGCCATCCAGTTGCTGAGAAAAATACACATAAAGGCATAGAACCTTACTGTTCGCCAGCTACCGAACATTAGAAAGTGGGTAGCCCCAACAACACAAGAGGTAAAACGCCCCAGGGGCTTTTTGCCCCGCGACCTACTGGGGCGTTTTACCCCATCACGTAGTTCGGTCAGAGAACAACGCCTTGCACTCCAGTAAGACATAATTTAACACGAACCAACCCGGCATGATAAGCGTTAGACAATAGTTGTTCAAAATACACAAAAGTCGTTAACCTAATGTGGACCATAAAAGAACGCCATGATTCATAATCTGACAACAAAACATAAAAATCACTCAAAAAAAAAACACATTTTTGGCTATATCTCCCGAAAGAGTCATCACAATTTCTTTCCAGTCTGCTCATATAATGATCATATAGTGCACGTTTTATAGAAGAGATGATGTTTCCCCAGAACCCTGCCAGTTCCGAGAAACATCGGTGAGGCGTTTTACCTCGGCGGGGCGACTTGCCCCGGTCTACCCTACATAGGTACGCAGTTTCAGGTGGATACATATGACTTGTATTATGTAAATATGGATCGAAGCCCAAATGACATTTTAGGATCGAGTGAAAGAAGAAGTAATTATGCACATCACATCAGTAGGTATATTCAGTGTATCGAGCAGTATGCTCATCAGATAGGTGCTTTGATGACCCGTGTTGTATAAGTGCACGTTTGTGTTGCACTCAAGCAGTGTCCTATGCTCACACGCTCATCTCACTTTGAGATCACTTCAGTAAGTTTGTTAGTGTGTTTGTTATGACTAAAACACCATTCGTTCGACAACCCGTCTCAAATGTTTACTTTTTGCTTCCAAACGCGTTTTTTTTTCCTGATCTAGCGCTTCGCCACAAAAGGCAGGCACAGTCGACTAGTCCAGCCGTCTCAGGCGAGGAGTCGACATGGCCGACATAGGCTTTCAAGTTCCAACATAGGCTGAACAATCCCTGCTCAGATCAGGTCAAGCCTAATGGCAGGGATGACGAAGCCGCGCTGATGCGTGTCTCGCAGTTGGGCGATCTGCAGTCGTCGTCTCCTCATCTGCTGGCGCCAGCGTCTGGCCATCAGCATCTGCAGACACGGATCCAGCATCCCCGACATGACGGTGAAGAGCGCCAAGTTGCCGAGGTACCTCTGCTGCAGGCTGAGGTTGCTGGTGTTAAGCGGCACCAGCAGAGTCTTGGCGATGACCGTGACGAGACAGAGCTGCGCCCAGCTGTACGCCGGCAGGTAGTTGCGCGGCCTGCCCGTGTCCGGCGGGCCACTGCTGACCCGGAGGAGGGCCAGACTGCAGAAGAACGTCAGCAAGTGTATGGCGCTATTGATGGTGAGAGGCATGTTGGTCAAGACCTTCAGCTCCGAGGTGCCTGTGCACCAGAAGTAGGACGCTGGTGGTGTGTTGGTAAAGAAGAGGAACGAGAACAGGCCAGTCAGGAGGAACATAGCGACCCGGTTCTGCCAGGCGAGGAGCCGCTGCGTGATGCGCCAGGCCACGGCCGGGCGACGGGCGACCGTCAGCTGCAGCAGACGACACAGACTGAGGAGGCTGTTCGAGGCTGTCACCAGACCGACCCCGTACACAATCAACAGACCGTGGAGGACACAGATCGGGTGCAGCCACGTCGCCGGCAGCATCCCTCGCAGACTGTTCACCAGCAGGCTGAAGACGTTTAGCACGGGCCAACAGATGCCGTTGATGACAGCTCTCAGCAGCAGCAACTCATCGAGAGCTCCAGGGCCGCGTGAGCGTCTAATGTCGCGCACTAGAAGTAGTGACAGAACCGCTGAGATCACGGTCTGAGCCACGAAGAGTAGCTGTGTGAAAACATCCAGCGGCTCACCCTGCTCACCTGGCTTGACCGAGGTCATCGAGGTCAGCCCCACCACCGGGTCCGCCATCCCGGCCGCAGAGGTGTTTCCAGTCGCAGGACTCAGATACATGCTGGAAGCCAGCACCACCGGGCACGCCGCAGACGGTGTGTCGGTGCGGAGACGGCGCCGCTGCACAGCACTGTCATTAGAGGCACTGGGAGCGGGAGCTGGCAGCTGGCAGGCCAGCCGACGTTCGACGAGCTCTCTTTGACGAATCACCAACCCAACGCCGACGAGCTGCTGCGTTGGATATTGGACGCTTGGCATTACAGCAACTAATAGCTTGAATCGACAGATGTAAAAAGTAATTATGATGGATTAAAATGTGCGCTGTAGCGGCGCGGCGGTCCAAATATAGTAAATCGATGTGGGAGATGACGTTTTTACGTCATTCCTCTCCCGCCCACAGCCCAAGTCCTCGACCAGGCAGTGA